AAACTTGCTGAAAGCTCAGATGTTGGTTAGCACATTTTAGCAATAAAGTATTTTTAATTAAGATATGTACATTTTTTAGACATAATGCTATTGCACACTTGATAGACTGAATTATAGTATAAACATAACTTTTACATGCACTGGGAAACTAAAATTTCATTTGGCTTGTTTTATTATGGTGGTCAAACTGAAGCTGTAACATCTCCAAGGTATGCCTGTGTCTACCACCACTCATGTTTTAAGATGTACCCAGAATTTGTTTTGATCAGGCATGACAAGACATGGAAGTGACCATTGTGAAGGGGGAAGTTTTACTCACAGTTCCCTAGAAACAGGAGGCACAGCACGCCTCTGGGACCACACGCGCAAGCAGCAGGTTTGATCAGAAGCAGAGTGAGTGAGAAAGAGCAAAAGCCTTTATCAGTGGTTCCTTCTGGAAAGGCAAGGAGAGTGGGTTTAGGATTGACTAGTTTAAATAAATTCAATGGGCTCTGGGGTGTAGTGGTCTGCAGTTATCTGGTTCTGGTCCTGGGTGATTAGGGCAGGAGAATATTGACCTTGAGTATGAGAGATGGATGAGGGATTTTGTGAGGGTGTGGGCTCCGAATTGGTTGGTATGTAAATGAAAGGTGGGGTTGCAGGCTTTCTTGTCTCTAGGAATTGGCTAGCTCTGGGAGGGGCCATCTCACCAGGGCCAGGAAGGCCTCAGATGTCAAAGCATCAGAAATACAGAAACTTGAAAGGCATGATTTCACCTTCACCAACTTCGCCTGGGTGCTAGCTGGCCCTCTGATCTTCGTTCCTGTCTACTGTGCACCTGTCAGTCTTTATCTTACTGGACCCTAAGAAGCTTTGCTGCCATTGACTCCTCCCTGTCCACAATTATTCCTGCTTTGCTTTTTTTCTCTGATCACTCTTCTTTCTCTCCCTGACCACCTGTCTTTTGGCTTCCCTTTAAGTGTGCATCCCAGGGTTCAAGTCCCAATCATGAATTTTTTTGCAAAGTTTCACTTATGTGATCCCAAGCACCTTTGTAGTTTCAACTATTGCTTCTGTGTGGCCCTTCTGTGGCATTTAAATGCCTACATCCACTATTTGTTGAATATCTACACTATAGGAATTTCAAACTTGACCTTTCCCTATCTCAACCATGCCTCTGCCTTCAAATCTGCCTTAGTACTTCTGGTCTCAGTAAAGAGGCTGTGCTTCTCAGGTATCATGAATTGACTATGGATTAACAGCACTGTGGGATTTTCCAGTGGTTCAGTTTGTTGACAAGCTTCTAGCTGCCTAACCCAAGAAGAACATAGTAGTTCTGGATTCTGTGTTTTTCACTTGAACTAATCTATTGACATTTGGTTGTCACTCTTTTTTTTTTTTAAGATTTTATTTATTTGACAGAGAGATAGCAAGAGCAGGAACACAAGCAGAGGGAGTGGGAGAGGGAGAAGCAGGCTTCCCACTGAACAGGGAGTCCTGATGCAAGACTCGATCCCAGGACACTGAGATCATGACCTGAGCTGAAGGCAGATGCTTAACAACTGAGCCACCCAGGCGCCCCTTCGTTGTCATTCTTAATAACAATGTTATCACACTGAGGAATGCTGTACACCTATTTATTTTTGAGATGCTTTTAAAAAACATTTTTATAAAAATCTGGTTTGTCTTTTTAAGTGTCTATGGAAGTGATCATTATAAATCTGAAAGGGGGATTAACTAGATCAAAACCAGAAAGGAAATAAATCATTTTCATGAGATTAGTCCTTAAATAAAATGGCTAAAGTTCAAATTAAACATGAATTGGCCTGTGGTTTAAAACCTGGAAGAAATCTACCTTACAACACACTTTTGTACTTTTTACAGTTTTCTGGACTCATTTGATATTTTGTCCTTTGGTGAACATATCACATAATGTTAGAATTTTGTCATAATATTTTATAATTTAGGACTTGGAAAGCTGCTTTAGAGATTATTTAGTTTGTTTACCTCAATGTATAAAAGAAGAAACTGAGGCATCTTTGCAGGTGTGTGGCTTGAGAAGGCAAGTGACTGTCAGGTTAGGAGAGGGCACAGTGCACAGTTGGGTACAGAGTGTGATTCAATATGACTATATTTTTGAACTCAGATAATTTTAAATGATTTGTGTCATTTGTAGAATCATTGGTGAAATATTACAGTTACTGTACATTCTAAAAATATATTCTATCAAGCACCACAGAACAAGTTTAGAAATAATTTAAACACAAAGTGTATTAAAAATCAGGTCATCCATACATATCACACATTTGTGTCCTTGCTCCGTCAGCTAAGAGAGCCTCAAAGCAACTGGACCCCCAGTAACAACAAGCTCACTTAGTACCCAGATTGTGGTTTCTAAACCATTCTCTAATAAAGGAAATGGGCTCTAATAAAGGAAATGGCCGAGACTAAGATTGGAATGAGGAATGATTCAAGATGAGCCCGTAACATCTGGTTGTGCTAGAAAGTAAAGAAGTGATAAAAATGCAAAGCAACACCACCACCAACACCACCAACCTCCATGATGACATTTTTTTTTTTTTACTGAAAAGAATTCTGTATCTTGTCTTCTAATAATCACAAACTGCTTATTGATTATGAAGTACTTCAGTACAGAGTATGCAGAAGTTCTGTATCTTGCTTGGAAGATTTAGATGACTGCTTTCAAACTTGAACTCCTGTGAGTTCTTGTTAAAGTGATTTTATAGCTCTGGGCCTGGAATTCTGTATTCCTTACAAGCTTCGCCAAGATCCACAGAACTGAGTTATTCAGTCAGCAGGCACTAGGAACTGTAAGGGTGCCTTCTTGGGAGCTGATGCTGCTTGTCTAGGGAACATACTTTGAGTAGCAAAAATTTGGAAAAAAAAAAAAGCAACTAGTTTACTTCATTATCCCGAGTATAATTTACAGCTGAAATAGCATTAGGCCCCCAAAGGTTACATACAAAGAGAATTAATCTCTTTATTTAAAAATCTTAAACTCTAATAAAAGAGGCATGGTGGAAAAACATATTTTACACATTTACAAATATATACTAGTACAGATGCTATATAATTATACAAGGACAGAAGAAAGTATATACTTTATGACAGTGTATTTTTTAAAAAAGATTTTATTTATTTATTTGAGAAAGAGTGAGTGAGAGAGAGAGAAGGAGCAAGGGGAGGGAGAGGGAGAAGCAGACTTCCAGCTGAGCAGGGAGCCTGATGCAGTACTCAGTCCTGGGACCCTGAGATCATGACCTGAGCCAAAGGCAGACGCTTAACTGACTGAGCCACCCAGGCGCCCCATGAGAGTGTACTTAAAAATCCTAAAAGTATTTTTTAAAGATATTGCTTGCTTGAATATGTTTGTCATCAGCTTTTTTCCTCAAATATTTAATAAATTTCAATGTTTTTCAAATACTGATATTTCCCACCAGCAATTTTCTCAACATTGATATAACAAGGCTAGTTTTTATTTTTGAAAATGGAACTGTTTTTATATATTGAGAAAGAGAATAGCTGTGTCATCTCTAACTAAAGGAAGTGATAACTCAAGAAACTATATAGCAAACATTTCAATTTAGGTACCTGAAAAATGCTAGCTTAAAACATAAAATGAAGGAATGCCCCTCAGTACCTAATAAGGTGCAAAGATAATTAACATGGCTTTGTAAAGAATCAATCAAGTCAGAGCAACTATCTTTATGGTAAGATATTGTTATATGCAGGTAGAAGTGAACACTAAACATTTTCTATTATTTCGTTTTCTAGTTGTTCTGTCTTATGACTTTTTTTTATTATTACACATAATCTCTGCTCATTTAAAAACAAATTTTAATTTAAATTCCAGTTAGTTCGTAGGGTAGTTCTATTTTTAACTTTTTGAAGAACCTTCATACTGTTTTCCAGAGTGGCTGTACCAGCTTGCATTCCCACCAACAGTGTAGGAGGGTTCCCTTTCTCTGCATCCTTGCCAACATCTGTTGTTTCCTGACTTGTTAATTTTAGCCATTCTGACCTGTGTGAAGTGGTATCTCATTGTGGAACTAGAGGGTATTATGCTAAGTGAAATAAGTCAAGAGAGAGACAATTATCATGTGATCTCACTCATATGTGGAATTTAAGAAAACAGGATCATAGGAGAAGGGAGGGAAAAATAAAACAAGACGAAATCAGGAGGGAGACAAACTGTAAGAGACTCTTAATCCAGGGCACCTGGGTGGCTCAGTTGGTTGGGCAACTGCTTTTGGCTCAGGTCATGATCCTGGAGTCCCGCATCGGGCTCCTTGTTCGGTGGGGGGCCTGCTTCTCCTTCGGACCCTCCCCCCTCTCATGTTCTCTCTCTTTCTCATTCTCTCTCTCAAATAAATAAATAAAATCTTAAAAAAAAAGAGAGACTCTTAATCATAGGAAACAAACAGGGTTACTGGAAGGGGTGGGGTGAGGAGATGGGGTAATTGGGTGATGGGCATTAAGGAGGGCACATGATATAATGAGCACTGGGTATTATATAAGACTGATGAATCATTGAACTCTACCTCTGAAACTAATAATACATTATGTGTTAATCAATTGAATTCAAATTTAAAAAAGGATGCAAAAAATAAAAAAATGGTCAGACTGTCAAAAAATAAAATATATACCTACTCCTTTTGTAGTAGGTATGCTAAATAAAGAATATATTTCTAAAAAAATTCCAGTTAGTTAATATCCAGTGTAATAATAGTTTCAAATGTGCAATATAGTGAGTCAACACTTCCATACATCACCCCATGCTCATCACAGCAAGTGCACTCCTTAATATTCATCACCTATTTCATCCATCCCCCTCCCCCCTCCCCTCTGGTAACCATATTGTTAGAGTCTCTTCTCTATAGTTAAGAGTCTGCTTCTTGGTTTGCCTCTCTCTCTCTCTCTTTTTTCCTCTTTGCTTATTTGTTATGTTTCTTAAATTCCACATATGAGTGAAATCATATGGTACTTGTCTTTCTCTGACTAAAAATATGGAACACTTCACGAATTTGCATGTCATCTTTGCACAAGGACCGTGCTAATCTTCTCTGTATTGTTCCAATTTTAATATATGTGCTGCAGAGGTGAGCATGATCTCTGCTCATTTTGAACAAGAAAAGTAGGAACGAGAGATAAACCTGTCAGCATTTATATACATATATGTATATGCATATCTATTTCTTCATAAAAATATTGTTGTAAACTTAAAATTGATGATGGTGGCAGTTGGCAACTGTTTTGGTTAAATAAAACTAGAAATTTTCACAAATTAGATGAATGAGATAGTAGTTTTGGGATATTTGTCATGCATTATGGGGAGATCCTTTTGTTTTTAATCCATCTTTTATACCTTGTAGTTAGATACCAAAAGAATGAAGCATGCTTTTGAGGCTTGTGCTGTCCAACATGGTAGCCACTCAATGCATGTGGCTATTGAGCACTCACAATGTGGCTAGTCCAAGTTGAGATGTGCTATAATTGTTAAATACATTTTGGATTTTGAAAACTTAGTATAAAAAATGTAAAATGTCTTAATAATTTTAAAGTATGGAATATGTGTTGAAATGATAACATTTAGAATATATTGGGTTAAGCAAAATAAATTATTAAATACGTTTTACCTATTCCTTTTTACTTTTTAAAATGTGGCTGCTAAAAAATTAAAAAAAAAATAAAATGTGGCTGCTAAAAACCTTGACATTACATATGTGACATATTTCTATAATGGAGATTGCTTTTTAAGACCATTTTCCATCAGAGATCAATCAGCTAATCTTGTGTGGGGGTAATTCTCTTATATTCGATTTCTCAAGTAATATTTTGTTGATCAAAAACTATCACAGGTGCATCTAACACTAAATACAAACTCAGTTTCGATCAACTAAATTTTATTGAAAAAGTAATACAGATTTATGTTCAAAATTAAAATTAATAATGAGTATGCATTGAAAACTACTACCTCTTCTCTCCCACCCCCACAATCCTACTTCTTGGTACCTTTCTGCAATCACCGTTACAGTTTGAATTACAAATAGGAGTGTGCTACCAAGCAGGCATTGGCAAACTTTTTTTAGAAAGGGCCAGAGAATAAATATTTTGGGTTTTGTGGGCTCTCTAATCTCTTCAACAACCACTCAACTTTGCATTATAACACGAAAGCAGGCATAGACCACATGTGAACAAATGAGCATGGCTGTGTTCCAGCAAAACTTTATTTGCAAAAACAGCTATAGGGCAGAATTTGACTTCTGAAGCGAGTGTTATTCATTAGAAATACAATAGCCTATCTTTAAACCTTTTGACTTATCTTTCTGCATCTATTCTTGTTTCTCTATACTGGGCTTTATGATTTTTTAAAAGTGAATCTTGACTGTGTCATCCCCTTGCCTAATTCTTTGACTTCTTATCACTCATAGAATTAGGGACAAAGTTTATAAAGGACTATAAGGTCATCTATGTCTATAAATTTATTTATTTATTTATTTATTTATTTATTTATTTATTTATTTAAGAGAGAGAGAGCACAAGCATGAGCAGGGGAGGAGGGGTAGAAGGAGAAGGAGAAGCAGACTTCCTGCTGAGCAGGGAGCCCAAAACAGGATTCAATCCCAGGACCCTGGGATCATGACCTGAGCCCAAGGCAGACACTTAACCAACTGAGCCACCCAGCTGCCTTTGTCTGCTGCTTTAGCTAACTTTTCTTTCCCTCACCTTCTTTCTTTTTTAGCCATCCTGGACAGTCCTCAAATACTTGAAGACAGTGTGACCTTTTCCTCTTCAGAGATTTTTTTTCTTTCTTTCTTTCTTTCTTTCTTTCTTTCTTTCTTTCTTTCTTT